TTGGAGGAGCAAACACCAATGCTAAATACTGTTGCTGTTTTGATGCTATTTCGAATTGGGACCAAAAAAAAAATCTCTTTTTTAGTGTTTTGGCTTCTTCAGCGTAAGCACAACACAGAAAAAACAGTGGAATCTTCTCCATAAAAATATGTGGCTCAGTTAAAATAGCTCCTAATCATTCACCTCCGGGGATACGTGTCCAAGAGCACAGGGAAGTGGCATCTTTTCAATAACGAAAAAAAGTTTCCGTGTTTTTTCCATGTTTTTTTTTCCCCCCTAAGCATTTCCTCAATACCTCAAGTACTAGCTATTCTTATACCTTTCCCAGACCACAAAAAAAGAAAAAAAAGGCAAAATAAAAGCCAAACAAAATACAAGAGGGATTGCCAGGAATGAAGAGTGCAATCTTATTTCCATGTTTCTCTAATAGATTAGTAATTTGTTGGCAGTGGCTTTGACAGAAAACAGATGGATGCAGCATTAAGCACAATGACTGCAGCAGATGCTAGGCCAGCCCACATCAGCTGGACGTGTCAGGCAGCCAAGTCCAAGAGCCCACACTTTTCAAGTGGGTACAAGGCTGGCAACAGCAGCTGTACCATCCTACTGAACAACTCCTCCCCTCCGTATCTGAGGGATTTTTGATTCCAGCTCCCCCTCGGCAGAGTAGAATTGTACCCAGAGAGATGACATCTCAAATGCATGAGAAAAACCAAAGTAGTACCTGGAATCAGGAAGAAAAAAAAAGAAGTGTAACGAAGATAAAATACGAAAAAGCCCACTAGCCACCTGCCAAAGACAGATGTTCATACTTCCTGCCGAAACTCTGGTCCACTTTGTCCAGGTTTGCTGAACAAAGTGCCCTGATAGCTTGCCATTCTAGGCAAGCAGGGAAGAGGGAAATTCGACAACTACCTGTTAGTTTTGCTCTCTGCTTTAGAGACGTAGGTCAGATTCACAACAGTATCTTAGAATAATTTCAGAATTGTTTACATGTGCACTTAACCACTAAGTTTTTCTCGCACGGATGATTTAAACACATCGTTCTGAATTCCTCTGAAACTATTTTACCTAGATAAAGTAGATACAGCTGATATTTAAGTCTTAACTCCACGGGCTGTTGGCGTATGTGGGTCTGGATTCAGAGGTCTAGACTCTTGAGATCCTTAGGGCATCTCACCCTTAAGATGCTACCACTTTAATTAAAATCTAGGATTAAAATCAGTGGGAACTAGATAGCAAAGTGCTTTTATGAAACGAGTCCAACATTAGAGGTTACAAAGCACAAATACTCAATTCATACGACTCTACCATGAACAAAAAAGGTTTTAACTTCCTGTGAAGCTCTGGGGTTGTGGTTCAAACACGTTCAGCAGTGGTTTCTCTCTCTGTTATACCCAAACAGAACAGCTTTACTGCTGAATTGAGCAGGAGAAGTTAGGAAGGCGGGATGCATTTCTGACATGTTTTACTGATCTGCAGGAAGTTTTACCCTGCCTCAGTCTTAAAAGACCCAACTGACTACAGCATCTGACCGCTCCCCAGAGGGCATTTAAGGGACATTTTGCTGTGGCAGCAGTTTGATGCTCGGGTCACAGACCAGAGCTTCATTAGCCCCCAAGCTAGATGTTGTCCAAATACAAACCAAAGAGACTGTTTCTTTCAGTAACAATTTCCATTCTCGCTCTGCTTTTTTTTTTTTTTTATTACAAAATTAAAACTAATGTTCTGTACTGCATGTTTCTGTGTAGTATCACAGGCACAAAGAAGTGTGGAGCCAAAGCCATTTTTTATTTTTGTAGGAAACGGTTTCACAGGATTGGACTAGGTCCCCAGTACAGAACTGCTTCCTGGGAAAATACATTCTGCTCTTATCATAGATCAGAGTAAACACATGAAAACCAAATAAATCAACCAGACTGAAATGGATCATTCTGCTCTCATGAACTGGGGGCTAATACCTCCAACCTAAGCTTACTGGGGTAGTCTTTACTACGGTGAGCAATTCCACTGCAGAGGAAGGATGCTAGCCTTGAGCAATGGTTTTTAGGACAGCACGCAGTGAAATCTAGCATTCAAACTAAAAGCTTAATGCCACAGAATGCATTGACACACATATAAAAATACAAATATTCCTGTTGCACTCAGTCTACGTTTAACAACATTCTGGAGGAAGACCTATGTGAACAAAACACGGAAAGCAAATAAAATCCTTGAGAATTATTTTAGCTTAATAATTTAAGAACTTGGTTGCAACCCAGGTAATTCTTAATATATTTGTCATTCTGGCAAGAAAAGGTAAATGGGGTAATGTTATTATATATTCATCATTGCTGGCATATAATTGTGCTTTGTAAGAGGGTATATTAAGAGATGCAATTACAGATTACTTTCATTTAAAATGAAAAATGCTATTAAAAACTTAAATCTTGGTAAATACAAGACTTTGAAATATCACCATCTTCATCCCAGGATTTTATTAATGGTCACATTAGCCTGGTGAAAATGCAGCATTCTTCTGCTCTATTTGTTACCTGTAGAGCTGAAAGTCTGCAGGGCCCTAATTTTACGACGACCAGTGCACGGGATCACTGGTACTCTCCAAGAACTGGCAGAAGAACACGCTTTTCATCCATCACACTATTCACCAGACCCTTCTGAAACGGCCTGTTAATGACAATGATGCTCATTTTCTTCCTGCCCCTCAAGTTCACTTTTTAATAGCCTTTTCTTCCTGACCACGACCCATAAAATCATTACATAGGCACTTTCATCTACAGAGGGAGGAAAAGAACTGCTGAACTCAAGCAAAAAAGAAAGTAGTATTCGGCGTGTTACTTAAATGCATTGATTTAGTACAAAAACCTTTCCATTCAATCAGGGTGGATGGCTAATGTTTTACTGCACTTGACACCCACTATTCCCAGGGTTCGGAATCTCAGCAGCAGCAGTACAGCTGGAAGTCAGGATAGCACATCATAAATCCACTGGATTTCTACCAGTTAAGCTAGTTGCTCACTGTGCAGATAAAAATAAGCACTTGGACAGCATTTTATGGCCATAAAATGCTTTCCAAATAAAAGGAAAGCACCAGTCAACTGGAGTTAGGTAATTAATCTTCACACATGGCTATGAGGCATTACTAGCCCCATTTTACGGTTAAGGAAAGCGAAGCAGAGAAATGAATCTACTTGCCTAAGTTGAAAGATGGTGTAAAAGGCAGAGCCAAAATTAGAAACTGGGAGATGTTGGCTTGTAGCCATGTCCTCACAACACTACAACAAACGTGACCCAAAGATGAAACAGAAAAAAAACACTGCTCAGGGTGGCACAGCTCCCTGCAAACAAACATCACAACCAGTTCTCAGAAACTCCAGAGACCAAAATAACCATCCTTGCTAGCACGGCCGAGCCACCACCGAGCCGGTACAGAATTTCCCATCACTGGCTCCAGTCCTTTTTGAGGATTTGAAGAAAGCAAGCAATAGTAGGAAATGCTGGAACAGAAAAGCTTCTTAATGTACCTCTAAAGAAAATACTGCCCCTTATATATGCTGTGGCTTGACTTCAAGTTCATTAACCCCCTAAACAGATGCATACTTTATAAAGGTTATCCAGTAAAGGCAAAACAATAGACAAGTTCAAGGTTGCAAGCATGGAATGTCCAGGGACAGAAACTGTGTATTCTATTTTTGGTTCAGTCCTCCAACCATTCTGTCAAACAAGCAAAATAAAAGCAACTGTCTCGCAGTCGGAAGGGTTAGTTAAGATTCACAAACCATGTGCACTGGAGCTCACTATGACATTCCCTCAGTATTCCCACTGTATTATTATGCTCGTTAGAGGACTTTAACCCTCACAGTCACCATGGAATTTCAGATTGGCCTTGGGGTTCCATCTAAGAAAAGAAGTCCTATTTTGGGATCAGTGTTGTGATCCTTATTCCATGCTTGGTCAAACGTGGCCTTGTCGCAGGGACGACATGCTTGGGCTCCTAAACAATGGCCCTGGCAATGCAACAGATTCATCATTTCCTTGCCCAATTTAAGGTCACTATTTTTATACAGAGAAAGGCGCTTATAACAGAAGCAGCTTCTTCCACAAGGTGCAGCTCCATCTCTGAGTGACAGTTTTGTTTGTTCAGGGCTTTTTTGGGAGGGTGGTGTGTGTGTTTGTTTTTTGTTCCGTTGTGGTTTTTTTTTGTTTGTGGCTTTTTGTTGGTTTTTTTTTTAAGAAATCACATCCCTACCTATGTACATGATAATATATTTTACAAATATATATATAAAAATTATCATATGTACTACCAGCAAGCGTTTTACCTTGTGGTCCATACTGGCTCATCTGAGGCCCATAGGTACCACTTGAATTACTCTGCTGAAAGCTACCGATTCCAGGATGCACCTGGCCTCCAGGTGAGGGGTGTGGTGACATGGAAGGTCCAGTTTGCTGAGGTCCATACTGTGACATTTGGGGATTCCTCTGTATGCCTGCCATAAAACCTAAAGGGAAAAAAGCATCAAAGCGAAAATTAATATTCAGGTAACTGTTCTTTGTTTAAGGAATCTTTGACATGAAAAAAAACACAGCCCTCTTTAGTTATTTCCAGACTAAAGATACCCAGAAAACTTCTGTTGTTCATATGAACAGAAACAAATGCATGTCAGCAAAGCTGTCTCAACAGCCAAAACCTGTATACGAGGCTCAAAAACTTTTACTTGTAAGACAGGGCAGTCCTGCTTGGCAGTTGGCTGCTGATTTTAAAATTAAAACAATCTTTAGGAAAAAAAATGAAAGGCAATTATCTGCATCACCTAATAAGTAGTAGGGAATTTACCTGATGACTTACGGTGGGAGTATCGCAACTTCCAAAATTACACGTTGTTACCAAAACGCGTAACTTCAGTGTAAGGAAATCCACTGTAAATACTCCTATTGCCCAAAAACATTCAGGATATAAAATTTCCCTTTACGTGAAGACCAGTCATACAAGCCATAAAAAAAGTCGGTTTGGTGTGTATCTGTGCTCTACGCCCTTCTCCTGGTCTGTCCCCAGTACACCAGTAATGCAGTCACTCTTTTTTTCCCCTTTGTAAATGCATTAATGAATCCCAGTTTAATTTAAGGTTCAAAAGCTGCAGCAAGACTTGGTGAAACACTATAACATCTAGAGGCTTCATACGAAGTGGGGGAAGAGGAGAGCTTTGTGGCAGGGTGTTTTAAGTTTCCATGAACTGGGAGAAATCCTGCAAACCTGCCCATGACGTGTCTATACAGGAACGCTGGTTTTCTAACTTTTTGCCCTGAAAGGTTTCAGTGCCGCTTGCGATGTTGAAGAGGATGTGCTGAGGAGATGGCAAGGTTTCTTCCTTCTATCTGCAGGAAATCTGCTTTCTTTTCTGTTCTGCTTGCGTATTAAACGGCATCCTCTCCGCAAAGCACCACGTGAGCGCACCGAAGGGCACCATTCTGCACCATACCTCACCTGGCAGCACGAACCATGGCTTTCCTACCGTCAGGGAGAGAGTGGAAGAATCATAGAATGGTTAGAGTTGGAAGGGACCTCAAAGATCATCCAGTTCCAACCCCCCTGCCATGGGCAGGGACACCCTCCACTACACCAGGTTGCCCAAAGCCTCATCCAACCTGGCCTTGAACACTGCCAGGGATGGGGCATCTACAACTTCTCTGGGCAACCTGTTCCAGTGCCTCACCACCCTCAGAGTGAAAAATTTCTTCCTTAGATCCAATCTAAATTTCCCCTCTTTCAGTTTA